GATAAACGCTCGATGGCTGGGCAGGGTAAAGTATTAGAGGCGGTGTTCACCTAAATGTATTTCTATTTAATAGGAAAGTAGATAATGAGTTTCCGCGCACCTTATTGTCTTTATGATAAAGAGAAACCAGTTAAAAAGACTATAGAATGAAATCAGTGTAAGAAGCAAAACATTCATATTATGCTTCTCGATGTAAAAGAAACATCGACATGGGTCCTGTTTGGGAAAAACGTCCTTTCGTTTTGATTTCTATATTTTCACTCCAAATATACCTGACTCGACATGTGAGTACACGTTGTCATTGTCAGCTGTTTTGTAGATATTTAATCTAGGCTTAGTTTGTATAATATATTATTATATATATAATATTCACATGTCCGAGTCAAATATATTTGAAGTGAAAATATAGAAATCAAAACGAATGGATGTTTTGTGTGTGAGAAGCATAGAGTAATGTGAGGTAATTCAGTAATTTTTTGATATCCTTGTAAGTGTATTCTAATATGAATGTGTTGCTTTTTACATTGATTTCATTCTACAGTCTTTTTAACTCGTTTCTCTTTACCATATTGTTTTGAGACAAACATCTTTTTTCAAAACTATGATACTTACGGTATAACTGATGAAAAACTTTAAATGACACTGCTTTTTTGGGATTTAATGGGATGGATCCTCTACGTATACACGATATTTGTATATCAGAGTCAGATGCGTCCATAGGTTTCCTCGTGAGGATTTTATCAAGATCGCAAAACATAAAACAGACAAAATATTACTTATTGAAATTGCGAAAAATGACATTGACACATCTAAACTGAAATTGGAAAATCTTTTTAAAGCTGTAAAACCACTACCGGAAACTCTAAAAATTCCATTAAAGTTGTTGATGAAAATACTCTTGAATGTTGTTATTATTCAACAAGATTAAGACGAAAACCGTAAAATACTGACAGTAGATTCTTACAGTTGTTGGTTAGTCGAAGAAAAGTAGGCTTGAGGCAGACGCAGAACACGGTTTTTAGTTGTGAAAGTCGAAAAAATATCTATTCCGAGGCCCCGAAAGTCTATTCAGTCGAATTCTAATCGATTCGCAGAAGGAATACGCAAGATAAAAAAAAGAATGTCACAGCGTTCCTTTACTAAGGGTTTCGAAAACGTGAAATCGGTTGCGGAGTTCGAATTCTAATCTTATTCTTTGATGTACTAAGATGATCTATCTAACCGTGATGATCCGCTTGTTCGCTTGTTACTGTGGACTACTATAGTCGCCAAAAAAGAATGCGTCTGGTTATCTTTTGCATAGCTTTCTATTACGTTAGCGTAAATAATAAGGGCTGTTTAAAACCAACATCACACAGTGCGCAATTTTGGCTAGAGCAGGTGGACATATGCTATTAATTTAATAATAACTTTTGATAGAAAAGAGTTAGAGAGCTCCGGTCTTCGCCATTCAAAAGAGGAGACTTGAAAGCACGCTTTCATAACCAGTATTGTTTCCAGAAGAGTTGACTAAAATAGGTTTTCTAGGAGATCTTTGGAAAACTGGACCGTTTATAAACATTTTCTAATAGAATTATATTACTGTTTTTTATGCACTTATAGCCCGAGGTGTTCTTTTCAAAATAGGGATAAAGTGAGACCTTGATTTTCCGCGGTTCGGACGTTGTATCGGATTTCCTACGAGTCCCAGGACTGGCATCCAGTGACTATTGGCAGCCGTGAAGACCGATCGAATATGGGTAATTGACCATGCTGAGCCTTCTGGCAATGTTTGTTTTTAGAAAAGTTCTAAACATATACCGAAAAGCCACTTTTACGAAAATTTGCGATTTCAGGCTGTTCTCCCTAATATTAAAAAGTTCACTATTCACTCAATAAACATCAGAACGAGTTCAAAATTTCAGAATATAGAATATTTAAGCTATTCTATATCCTTTTTATAGGAGAACTCAAAAGAAATTTTATAAAACCTTAAGGTTCTCTGGTTAAGGTTTCCAAAAGGTTCTCTGAAAAACCCAATAATAAAACAAGCATTTTTGCTGATTTTTCGATCGTATAATCACGTTTAGAGAAGAAAATTAACTATATTCTAGAAGTTTGAACTCATTCTGAAGTTTATTGAGTGAATAGTGAACGTTTTACTATTAGGTGAAAACAGCCTGAAAACGCAAATGTTCGTAAAACTTGCTTTTTGGTAGATTTTTAGAACTTTTCTAAAAACAAATATTACCTCGAGGCTCAGCATGATGGATTACCTATAGTCCATCTGTTTTCCACGCTACCAATAGTCACCGAGTGACAGTCCCGGAACTCCAAAAACTAAGGGTTTTTGGAAACCCACAACTCTGTTGAGATTCATTTGGGCACTTTTGGGCATGCACTATAGTTGTAATGTGAGTAGAAGAATATTCTGTGAAAGTTTCGTCGATTTTGGATGATGACTAACGATGGCGCGCTTATTTTACTGAAGAATAAGCATCTGGGTGACACATAGCGTGGAAAGAAAAAATTGGTTTACAGACACTTAAGTCCGCAAACAATGTATTTTATTCGGAATCGATAGCTAAAAGTTCATAGATTCCGAATACATACGTTTAAATAAATGTTAAATCTGTCAAATCTAAGAAAAATATTGTTGTTCCATAAAGGTCGTAGAGGTCGCAGATATACAAGCTCCTTTTAACTTGTGCATTTTTTACGAAATTTTTGCACTTGCCTGGAAAATTTTAACACCAATAAATAGCCCATTATTCAGACTACATGTTGCAATATTTGAATTTCAAAAAAGCACACTTTCAATTTTTCACCTAATGTCCACATGATTGCCCACTGTGCATCAGTTGGAGGATTGGGATTTTGAATGATCAAAATTTTCGAGAAAATGCCATCTTCGACCTTCCAAACAGAATGTAGCTAAGAATTCGAAGGTCACATACGGTAGCGAATTTTCCACAAACTGATCGCAAAGGGCGCAAAAGTTCCAAAACTTAAAAACAAGATGGCCGGCCAACCGAGAGTTTTCAACTTTTTTGAGATTTTGATCATCGAACCTTCACTTAAAGGCAAAAGTAAGGTGATATTTGGAATCAGCATGAAAAACTGCATCAGATGGTGTGCCTTTGAAATCTTTTAGAGAAATGAAAAATTTCGACAATTTTTCGATTTTTTATGTTCAGCTCCGAGCAAATATAAAATGACGGAGTTATAGTCAAAATATGAGAGATGGCTACTTTTCGCAAATCGACGATGGTGCTCATTTTGTAAATTCTCTAACTCAACTAGAATAAGTCAGACAGTATTTTTTTATTTTTCATAATCCCAGTTCTGATAGTTGAATCCGAATTTGAAATAAAAAGCACATGTCAATTTTTCACTCGTGCTCGGCCTTTGGCAAAATATTCTACTGGCGAAGTCTCTCTCTTAATAGAAAAGCGATAGACATCTGCGATTCTCAGCAATCGAAAGCTAAGACGTTAGGCTATTCTAGGATCTATAGAAAAGCGAATGCTACTCTTGTGGTAAGATGATCCGAACTCATTTTAAAGTAAATAATTGCGGCAACATATTATAGGTTTTTACCCGGTTTGCTGCTGTAGTGAAACCAAATAAACTTGTTTAAACTAATTGTGCCAAACACAACGTGTAACGAAGAAAATCCTATGTCCCAATTTGAAAACCAGTCTTTTTCGCGCAAAAAGTGAAAAACCAAATCCTGCGGTTCGAGAATCCCAAATACTTTACTTCCCTTTACTTCCCAAATTTTTACTGACTACACTCGAAATGCAGGTTTTTAGAAAAGCGGTTCTGCTCAAGTTTCTTTGATCTAGGTATGAAAACAAACATTGCCACAGTGAGCAGCACATTTGAGGTACCAAGTGTATTTGGGATTCCCGAAGCACAGGGTTCAGAGATAAGTACCCATTTGGAAAACACCTATAGCTCCAGGATCAGCGAGTTTTGGACCTTCGCTTAAATCCAGCTTTGTAAAAGTGAGGGGTTCATTCAAAAACAAAATATCCGGAAAAGCTCATGGTCTGGCTAGAAGCACGTCGTGAAGGTGTTACGAAACCAGTCATCTTTGAACCAGGTGAAACTCTAAAAACAAAAAATTATGTCGATGATGTGTTATCGGTAGCCTTGGCTTGAAGAGTCCGTTTGCTTGGTGATGATTTTATCTTTCAACAAGATAATGCCAGTGCACACAAAGCTCCTCTTTCGCAGACACGGTGCAAAGCACAACAAAACGGGAGTTCAATCTGGACCATCCGTTAGAATTATTGGACAATTCGAAAAATCAAGATTACTGAATTGTCGGGTATTCCTGACGATTGTTGAAATCGTTATATATATATCATATACACTTTCTGTAATTATTTTAAAGAGCAGCTCGGAATTGTGGAATTGTTGATTCATGCTAAAGTAAAACTTCTTAGCTATTACAATAACTTAGGTTCTGTTCACTATCTCATACCCCACCCGAATTTTGAAAAACTGAGTCGTAACAGAAAAAATTAAACTATGTTTACAGGTACTGTTTGTGATCTCATGCAGTATCGCAGCACGATGTTATATAACTTACCAACTCTTCAGCTTCCACCTATATATATCTTTAAGATAGAAAAAACATTTTCATTTAGTCATTCATCATTCTTTCGTGTGCATGCCTTCGTATGAAGTAGAGGTTGCAAAATCATTCGAAATATTTAATCTTTATAAAATTAATTTTTTCTTTTTACTTCTTTTTCAATTTTCAGTTATATTCTTTAAGACTCGCGTTGTTCTCATCATTCATTTTCATTTTTTACTTCTTCTTCTCATTGATACAAAAAAAAATGGTTCGTCATGCTCTGTCGTTCTACATTCTCCTTACGCTTGCTGTTGCTTTTGGTGGTTCAACAACAACATATTCAAGTCAACTTGAAGAAATGATTCTCTATTTAACAAAACAACCAATTACTGATTATGAATCATATGGATGTTGGTACGTGTAGTGTAGAGGAAAGGAAAGGACTCCATGCACCGCTTTTAATCTGAAGCATGCATCGGTAAAGCTGATCGAATGTAAACAGTTCGTTTGTGTCCTCGGTATGAGTGTAGCCGTAGTGGTTTTCATTCTCAACTGACAGTTTACGACTCATCAGTTGAAATCCACTGTTCTAAGATTCTTAAATGAGTGAAACCTTCGTTTTTCTTGTAAAGACTAGATTTAGATGAAGATCTCTTGTGTATCAAAATATTTTGAGAAATTTGCTGTTGTCTACTTATTCTGCTCGTTTTTTGTCTCGTTTTTTTCATTCTTCCTCATGCTTTTTCTCTTTGCTTTCGGTCTACAAGTCACTCTGCTTATACTTCTAAGACGAACCTATCTCGATCTATTGTTTGTTACAAGGATTTTCAACGAGAGTGCATCTGAGTGTAATATTTAATCTGACTACATCTCATAGCTGTGTCGCAGAAGTTTAAAATAAAAGCGAAAGATGTTCTCCATGAACCTGCCACTAGATTACTTGGCATATTGAGGCTTAAAGACGAACATTTTGATACCTATATATGTAACTGAAAACCTTTGAAATTATGATATTCGGACAGAGCAAAGTCTCCGACGCTACCATATCGATTCGAGTGTACAAGCGCACAATAGTTTTTAATTTTCAGAACTTAGAGATACTCCTTGCTCATGTACTGTATTATTGCATGAAATTTTCAACTATACTTATTAACGTTAGTCGGTGCTACCACAGTGCGCAGAGAATCAAAGCTTCACTGATAGAGCTTTCCACTGACCTTTTTTCAGTGAGATGCGAAATAAACTATTAATACTCAATACGAACGGTGTCAACAGTCTAAGCTCTTAACTGATTCTGTCCTTCTAACGCAATCTCATGCTTATCTCTGTATATTACTTGCAGGCTTAACGATGGTGCAGAAACCGAAACTCAAACAAATACAAGTCTAGTTGCAGCAGAAGCCTCTGATGATATCACCGACGAAAAGTCACAAAAGTTACCCGCATTATTTACAATTAATCGAGTCGTTCATCCTCGTGGCTGTCCAAAAACAACAAAAAAGTACACTCAGTTTTACAAAACAAGTAATACACCTGCCACAAAAGTAAAATTTTCTCGAAAAAATTAAAGGTTTTCCACATCACACAATGGGATCTAAAATTAAAAAATTAACGATGAACGGTTTGACGAATTTCTTTCCCTCTTCCAATCTAACGGCGACAATTTCGATTGTTGCAACAGCTACATCAACAATAATTACCGATAGTCTGTCTTTTACTGTGCCACAAACACTAGAAGCAGAAAAGTCCGATGAACCAGATTCACCAGCATATATGAGTAGCACTTCAAACAACAATTCCAGTGATCGAACAGCAATTGCCAGTACATCAGTCTTGTCTTCATCACCAAATCCACTACCACTTCCTACCAATACCAATGTTCTAACAGAAAATGAAAATTTATTAAATGGGAAAAAACCAATAATTCGTACAGTTAAAGCGGGTGCGTATTAACTCAAGCCCTTTCAGAGTACAATTGTCAAATTAATATAGGTTCTAAGATAAAAACAGATTGACGATGTGAATGAATATACTGAGAGTAAAATCCTTCTCTATACTCGCCGGTCAAGTATAATCCAAAGTTAAGAGAATCATATATGTTTGAATTAACTTCACTTCCGATGAGGCTGATAACTTATACCACGTTCGCACTACAGAAGTAAACTCAGAGTTAAGGAAGGTCATTGAACAGAAATTTAACTCTGAGTTAACTTATGTTTCGAGCATCATTTAACTTTTAACTCACGGGAGGACCGTCCCAACTGACCAATCGCTTTCGAGCTGACACCTAGTGGACTATAAGTAGTCGACCATCCTTCTCCAAAATTTAAGCAATTACCGTCAAAAATCAAATGAACAATCAGTAAAAGTACATCAATGTAAAAATTCGAATGTCCAAGCAAAAGCAATGCGAAGTCTTTTTCCTTTCTTAAAAACGACCGTTAATTGTGGTGCTACCCGAGAAAGTCCTGGTTACTACGGTCACAACACTCGAAGGCAAGTCTGACTTTCAACAAGCTGGCGAAAACCAATTTTCATTCCAGGTTTGAGTTTAAAAATATATCTACACAAACTAAGATTTGTATCATGTCGAAAACAACATGGCCGCTGAGTTGGTGATAGATATTTTTGTGATGTCGTGGTTTGACACTCCGTATCTGCACATTCGCTAAAACTGCCGTGTACTTACTCTACAAATTATTTTCTTCTAGGTAACTCTACTTTGAAAAATCCAAAACAGCAGAATGAACTACAAAAGACCAAGTAACAAGAGCCTGCATACCACATTACAAAAGATACGAAGTGCCTAGTATACATCGGACATCGTGTTTTTGCAGTTTTAAATCTGGATAAATAACTTCAGTAACACAGTGTTATTAGTACACGTGTCTGTTATTGTACTTACACAGAGTATATCTAAACTCATGCTTGAAAAGAAGAACAATTTTCTTTCGTTCTTTCTTTCGTTTCAAAAAAAATCATCAATAACGGCTCTAATGTATAAACTATAATATATACAATGGCACAACCAATCACTAGTACTATAGATGTCGATATGATGGCACCGTTTCTACATCAAAATCGCTCTGTTCATTTTAACTTCCATTGTTTTGCATAAAAACAGCTTCACTACACTTTTATTTCTTTCTGTTTTATTAAATCTCTTTATTTCGGTAGCCATTTTGTCGTTTTTCATAGTTTTTAACCTGACGGCTAGACTTTTTCAAAATTCCTGCTAGCTGGCAACTGACGGCTACTAGCGGGAAACAACCGCGTAATAAAGATTTAAACCTCAGTAGAAAAGAAATATATCTGGTTAGTCGGACCTTCATCTAATCAAATAAAATATACCTGTTATACGAACAGTCTCGATATCGCCGTCTGTTTTCTTATGCGTTTCCATATGCCAGAGCAAAAAGAAAATTTTTTATACCAGTCTATGTCAAGTAGAAAAGTTGAGAAGTTTTGTTGAGTGGAAGTTCAGAATCCTCCTTCAATGGACTTTTTGTACATATCCTTCAACTTGGCGATTTCGGGATGTCTTTATGTCAAGCTCGATAGCTAACTACATGGACCGATGGAAACAGATTTTTGATTAAGTCGGCATTAATCTGTTTCATCGGTTAGGCCACTGTGACAGTTTTACATTTGTTACTGAAGAAGCAAGAACATAATTACAAGATTCGTTATGAAATCTAGGTTTTCACTTATTTTGAAGTTACTATAGTGCAAAGAATATCAAGTCCAGAATTTTTAGCAGATCCAGTGTCATATTTGTGGTAGTAATGATAGGCACATACAACTTCTTCGGTTGCATGTGCGAACACCAAGACTTTGTTCGAAAAGACCGATCCTGGATAGCAGATTGTTCTCTTTTAGAGCACGTGTGAAGTGGAAAAGGAAAAAGGTGGATGTCATGAGTTCTAGGATGTTTGAGGTTAGATGACTTTTTCATCTTTCGGATCTATTCAAAGTGAATGACACACATGGTTTGTTCGGCTAGTATTGGTTACTTGAAAATAACTATTAAATTGTACATCCCAATTCGGACCTCAGACAGAATCTGTTTTCCAGTTTTGTATTTAAGAAAGAAAGAAAAATAATAAAAAGGTAAAACATAAAAAGAGAAACGAATTCATATATTATCAAGCTCTTTAGATTAAAGAATGTTCCTAAACTCTTATCAATGGTTAGGATTACAATAATTTTATCAACCTAAACATAACACCCAAATTTACTATAAGGAATAACAGTATTGTGTCGCAGCACAAATGTAATACTATATCGGTTCAGAATAGTGTTGACTTGCCTATTCTACGTGTTTAAGAGAGTTTTGTGCCACTGACTCGAGCATTTTATTTGTAGTTGATAGCATGATAAAATTTAGTTTTTTCTGAAATCATTTCCCTACTTGGTCGGTCGAACATAACTGAGTTATATTTTGGCAACTTCTGCAACCAGTTTCTTGGGAATCACAGATACGACCTAAAATTTTTTTAAGACATGTATCTTGGATTAGTGTATTCCAAAAGAAGTTTTGATTTGATAGATCGAGCGGATCAAACAAAAAGTCGATATCGTAACGTATTATAGAAAAGAGAAATTTTTTCGAATGATCTTTGGGTACTAATAAACTTTCTGAAGCTAGACTTTGGTAAGACAACTCTTTTATATAAAACTTAAGCTGAAGACTTAAGCTTTTTGAATTACTATTTGATTTTGTTAACAGATGCTTCGTTCGAATAAAACAGTGAAATATGCTCCGTTACGAAAATACACCGATTTTAGCGTTTTTTATAGCGACACTTACGCGTACTTAATATCCAAAGCGAACTTCATTACGACTTCAACAGTTTTATACCCTGAGAGATCGATGGTTGACAGTCAAATCAGAATTTTAAAACCACTTTCCCGACGTTTAAGTTTAATTTTGAAAACTTCATCCAGCTCCATTCATCTGAAATTTAAGCCTTCAAAATTGTCTAACTTTAACAAATCTAACTTTCACCACTTCGAACATTTCCATAGTTTACCAAAATAACGATTCCATTTAAAAAAAGCTTACCATCGCAGACTTTCGATTTAAAGTGTAACTCCTCCCGTGCCAGACTAACGAAGGAACATCGCCAGATGTACAACTCCAATTTCAACTATTCTGGGGATATAGATACTATACATGGTCCTAATAATCTCAGATCGCTACGACTTTGTTTAAATAAGTTACACGCTTTTTCTTTGTCTGTTGGTACGCCTTGTGCGAGCAAAATTAAAAATTCTCTAACTTTTGAAAGAAGTGATAAAACCGAAATTCTTTTGGGCTTTTTACTAGGACCATGTATAGTATCTATATCCCTAATATAGTTGAAATTGAAGTTGTACATCTAGCGATGTTCCCTCGTAAATTACGATCTTCATCGCTTTAGTTTCAGGCGCAAGCGTCCATGTACTGCATTGTCAAAAATAATTGCAATTATTATCGATATACGTGATACTAAAAAATCTAAAGCTCGATCATAATTCAAATTTTAAAATCTTACTTTTGGTGAAAACGCTCAAGAAAAGGACTATATTAGAGAAAAATGTGACTATATATCAATCTAAATCTGATAATTTGCAACTGACCGGTTAATTTTTAATGCCACCAATATGTAAAATCTGAAAAAAAAAAATAAGTTATTATTTTCTTAACACGTCATGTTCGTCCGGCGAAACAAGTGATTGTGCAGCCACGAGTGTGTGTTGTACTTGACCAATTTCACATATTCTATTGCCGCTATCACCATACAGTCCATCAGATTCAAAAAAGACTTTATCTGGGCTTAATGTGCAACATAAATAAAAAAAAATACCATTTGATCTTCAATTTCAAAAATAGGTATATCGTTCAATATCATTATCGTCATATTCAATTATATAACATACTCTGTGCAAATAATACATGAGTTTGGCAATATCATTGTTCGGTACAGTTACTAGACTACTGCTCAAGGAGGTAAAAGCGGATCGGCGAATCCAGATGTATCCGAAAAGTATCCCTGTGGATCCCGAAGTATCCGAAATTTGTCCTAAGGATATAAAAGCCTTCTGCAAACTTTTTATACATTTTAAACGGATAAGTAGGGTGAAACGAACATTTTCGGAGTTCATAACTCCACTATCTATGATTATCTAGTGTAGTATACATACCTCGGATACCACCAAAGACAAACAGCTGTCAAATGTAAAAAATCACAGGATCCAGCTGATTCTGCAGTCTAGAAATCTTAGAAATAGATTCTTTTACATGTCTTTTTTTCGTTGCTTTTAACGTTTCTATTAAATATTTTGTTCTACCTTTAACCCCATTTTTAATAGGATGACCACCGGGTTTCAGAACTAATACAGTACGTCTTTTAATATCAGCTAATTCGTCACAATCCTATTCTAATATTGATGATGGATCATCACAACATAATAATGCACGTGTTGAAAAAATTGCTTGTACTTTTAAAATATCAGCAATAATAGCATTTGTCTTCTCGCGTGTATAATCAAAAAATTTGTCTCCAGTGGCAACAATTCCGTTTCAACGAGTATTACACAGCTTCAGAAACGGTATCAATAACAGAATTATCATGTAGATCCTCAATTAGTGTTGTCTAATCAAGTTTATTCAACATCATTTTTCATTGACTTTTTATTATCAATTGTTCTTGATCAGTTCCTCACAGCAACTGGTTTTGTGATGCTGATGCGTAAAATGGTCGATTTTTGTGTGAATATTAATAATCAAACCTTACACACATATGAATATGTTATGAGAAAGTATATAGATCAGAACCATATAACACACGTGTGATGCTGAATGAAGAAAAAAGTTGGATTAAATGCGAAAATAGTCAACTTTTGTAGATTTCATGATCAAAAGTTGTGCAGAAACCCATGTTACCCACTTTAACCATCGGTGAGCTGAAATTCGTTGTTTCCTTCGCTAGCTCGATTCTTTTATACTTTAGGTGTGCGTATGTGTGCAAAAAACAACAGTGGACGTATCATATCTTACTCTATGTGTGTGCACGATTTATTCAGTTCATTTTTCAATCATCCGTACTCAATATATAGTCATCAATTTTAACGGCAGTTGGATGTTTCACTGGCTTGTAGCTAAATAAATTAGAATATTCTATCAATACATTTCGTAGATAACAGAATATAGCTTGTTCACTCAAATATTTTTGTACTAATTCTCGACTTCTTTGTCCGATCAACTTGGCTTTTTTATCGTCTTGAACTATTGAGCGAGTCAAATTTTTGAACAATGTTTCATTATATTTATCTTTAAATATCAGTACATTATAATCATGTTTTAACAATTGATACCAATGTTCTTCCCATTCAAAGAAATTGGCATATATAACAGGGGCACCACAAACCATTAAATATTTCAGTCTATTCGAATAGGACCATCCTTCTTGATGTAATAAATATTTATATTCACAAAATTGTTCTAATGTTTTAGAATTGTCAGAATAATAACGACTTCGATTTCCAGATTTCCATTCCATAAACTCTATATCTAATAATGAATCATTTCTTCTTTCACCGATTCCCGTTAACCAATAGCGATCACCAGTTCGTGCACCACGAAACAATAACTTCGGAATTCTATTCTCCCACTTTATTTTATCTGCTACCTTAGGCAGTGTTTCTAAAAGCGAACGCCATCGGCCCAGACCTGGTCCTTCATGTATCCAAAATGTAAAACATGGAATAAGAATAATACCATTTGGATTCATACCCCAAAAACCAACCGGTCCTTCTTTATGCGTTTTTGAATAACCAAATACGGGCACATTATGTCGCATTTTCTCTAAATCTCTAGATCTCAATTGAACAGCATCTTCTAAAAAAATAAAAGATGTTATTAGTAGCTAATAAAATACTTATTTGATGGTTTTGTGATATTCATTCTCTTTTACATCTTTTGTCACGTGCTTGTTTTAATCAGCATTGCCGTAGACAAAACGTTTTTGGAATTTCTTATGGAAATCTTATCCGAATCTTATAATAATCTTATATAGGAAAACACTCTAAAGTGCCTCGAATTTCCTAAGAATCTTATAAGAGATTTGTAGGAACTTCGTAAGATAGTGATAAGACTTTTCAAGTTATTCTTATTTATCTTGATGTGTAGTAATAAGTGTAATAACTTGCTATCCCATGGTGACTCATGTGAGTACTATACGCAAGGTTCTTTTGTAGTAGCTTTTAGTGCCTTATCAGGACAGGTATGTAAAGGATTTTGATGCATATTACTAGTACTCGAGTTGCTGTATCTTCTACCACTCAGAGAGTCCGAATTGAATACCTTTATAGAGGAAAAAAGATTGAAAGCTTCGTATTTTGCTTAGGATCAGTTTGAACAGCGGAATTTATGCAGGCATGAAAGATATCCTTCTCTCTATTTTCTTCGCATGTAATTTAATTTTTTCAAACATTATTCTCGTCCTACAGCGAGTACTGCTGATCTACAGGCAGTACAGGCTGAAAACGAGTCGTGAAGCTACCTTTCTAGAACCAAAGTGTCATCATAGAAAAACGAAAACAATAGTTCTCCTCTTACGTCAATAAGCGGAGCAGCTTTTCGGGATAAGATATTCATAAGAAAGAGATAAGAGTAACACCAGAATTCTTAGCAGTTTTATGAAATTCTTACAAATCTCTCATCAAATTCGTATAAGACTCTTACGAAATTCGTGGCACTTTCTAGCGTTTTCTTATATACGAATCTTGCGTTAAGATTCGTACCTGAATCTTACAGGATCCATATAAGTTTTCAGTAAGAGTCTTGTCTCATTTCCTTTTAAGAATCTATGACTAGGATGTGTAAGTCGATGTGTCAAGAATTTCAATCTAATACTTACGAACTTGAATAAACATTTCTAAATCTCCTATTGATGATTTAAATATATCAACAACCTGTTGTAACATAGTTTTGGTGCTTCTTGGTCGATTTCTAAAACGTCCTACTGCATTACGTGGCACAATATATAATTCACTATCAATAATTTGAATATAATGACAACCAGGACAGGCCCATGACATATTTGCAATATCATTTAGATCGATTTTCTTTTGAAAAAAGCTAAACTCATGTTTAATTCTTGAATATAATGTATGATTTACATTATCATCAAGTGAATCATTAAATAATTCACACACATCATTATTCTTGCTTGTTTTTATAATGCCTAATGAAATATTTTTAAGAAATAGATTGTCGCAATCTAATTGATAGAATTCTTTTAGAAATTGAGCGTTATTATTATTGTAACATTTAAAGAAAGTGTCTTTGAAATTTAATGTAGAAACACATTTGCTTTCTTTATCAATAAATTCAGCTAGCCTATTTTCATAAAATTTTTTTAACGTATTTGTGATTCCAAAGCTAATAAATATAAATAGAAAACCTATTGTAATTAAGATAAAAAATAATTTAACTATATGTTCCATATGCCACCACTTAAACTTATAATCAGCTCTTGATATTCATTGTGAATTTAGGAAATAGTAAAAACATTTTAATTCTTCTTTTCGAACAGTGATGATAGTACATATGCGCGCTAAAAAAGTAATACGATACAAATTAGAAGTTTTTGACTTATGATGTAAGTGAAAAATTAGCCGTCATATCCTAATACAAAACCATCAATTTTTGAGTTCGTTCATACCTGAACAATTTAATATATTCGATTAATGCATTTTTCAAGGAGTGCGTGTTTATTAAACTTTTGTATCCAACTTTTGACCATTTTCTGCAATCATTTTTGTGCTTTTTTTCTTGTTCTTAAATATATTTTATGTGTCTTTCTTTTTCGTCTTTTTGATATGCATGAATAAACACACATTACATAACACTGGTTATATTGAAGACTAAAATAGTGTCTTTTGGCAATATACACATTAGTTTCAGGTTGCATAATTATCGGCACAAAAAATTGTTTGAGATGAGTACATACCATTCAAAGATGTTCTTAGGATTTTATGGTGAAATTCTAGAATTTGACTTTTAAATAAAGAATTTTCTAGAATAACTATTTTAAACAAAACAGTCCGTTAGTACATATCAGAATTTCATTTTTTTTAGAGAAGAATGCCTAGAGATTTTTTACATATTCCGAATCAGCTTGACGAGTTACACTGTTCGGCACAAAGATCTCATCCACATTTCCGAACGTTTTTCAGCCCCAGTGGCTCAGCTGAAGATTTTCGCGGTGTATTACAATATATTTAGTTGTAGACGTCATAAATGAAAAACCTTGAAAGGTCGGCTAGATTCAGCTTTAAAGCAGAATTTTTAGCTGGTGAAACGGCATATATCGATAAAGGAGGCTATCGAATGAATTCGTTATTCAAATCCACACAAAGTTATTCTCATCAACACTGTTTGATAATCGGAAAGCAGTTAATACAAGATTAGAGACTTTATGAAATTCAGTATGAATACAGTGTAAAGTGTCTCCGCTATTCTTCGTAGTGATTCTTCTAGCTTTTCGCATACGATGATAACATGATTTTTATAATATTGAATGAGTAATTGTACTATAATGCACTTCACAAAAGAAAGAGTTGATGACCTTCTCCTCAAATAAAATTAATCTTTTTTCTTCTAATAAAAAACTTAAAACTTTAAAATCGATTTAAAAATTAAATCCCCTCATGATATATCAGTGGTTCTCTTAAAAAAGAATGTTGCACCGTTTGCGCATCACCTTTATCGTATATTTCAGCCTTCAATAGAAACTGGATGCTTTCTTCATCAGTGGAAACTAGCTTTTGTTAATCCTTCTCATAAAAAAACTTCTAAAACTATTATGTCTAATTACAGACCAATATCTCTTTGGCGATTGTGAGTAAAATCTTAGAGTGCTTTATTTACGATCAACTGTTTCATGATTTGATCGTAAATAATTTTTTTTCAAACAAACCAGTTTGGTTTTCGTCCTAAGACGCCAGCCATTGATGCTCTTCTTTGTCTTTTACACAACCTCACAAACAATTTAAATTCGCAACCGCCAGTGGATAGCGTCTTGGTCGCATTTGATATGACAAAAGCTTTTGATAACGTACCTTACCAAATTATAACTTCTCGTCTATGCATCCTAGATCTTTCTCTTCTATGTCTCCAATGCTTCGAAAACTATCTTACTAATAGATCCCAACAAGTTAGAGTAGGATCTTTCCTATCTCTACCTACACCACTAAAATCGGATGTAATCCATGGATCAGTGTTCCCACGTCTTGCAGAAAGAGAAAATCTGCACAAGTTCTTTAAAGATTTTTTTTCTTGAAAATTCTTGATCAAGAACTTGATCAAGATTTATTGATACCTCTGCACTTGATGTCC